AACTAGTCGAACTAATGCTTGAATTTCAAACTTTGGGGGTGATTTCCTATGTAAAATTGAATATCCTTGGTGCATTATTATAGTGGTCAAAAGTTAATATTTTCYAACAGTTTWCAAAAAAATCGATTTTTTATATGCTTGTAATTCGAAAACTGATCACTGTAAATACTTGAAATTTTTACCAAATGGTTATGTTAGTATTATCTATATACAGTTTAATTTTTAAAATGTTTTGACTTTTTTTGAGTTATTTATAGACCACTGAAAATTTGCAAATTATTTTTAAGCTAGAAATTCATAATTCATTTTCTCTTTAAATCTCAGATTTGAAAATTTTTAATAATCTATAATATATCCTAGACAGATATACAGTCTCCGTTCAGAATCGTTTTCGTATACAATGATACCTATCATTGCATTCAAATTTGACCTACCCTAGTCAGAGGTCCACCCCACCCCCTAATGTACAGCAGAGCGATACCCACTTACCYGCTTCTTTTTTTTTATGTTATTGATTTTTYTAAATTAATAAATATTTATATTTATAGGTATTGTAAAAATATTATGTTCAATTTTAATTACTATATAATATATATGTAATAATGATTTATATTTGCTATGTAATCAATGCACATTACTCCTGCGTGGCTAATAAATCAATCCATCATAATTATGTAGGTATRAGCTTATACCTACGTATTCAAATCATATATATCTATTCAAATATCTGTATAATTATTTTTTCAGTGGTACTCAGTTTATCGAATGTGACGTTCTATAATATTTCCCTATTTATATTTTAATTAACTTTTTGGAATAAAAAATATCAATGATTTTACATTCAACGGTGTTTACATACACGGCCAAGTTAAACGAATATATTATCTACACTTTATTTGTCCAAGATGGATTGTTAGTAAATTTAAACTAATGATGTTGCGCATATATTGAAACAAGAAATCAAAGTGAATAATTATTATAGAAACAAATAATAAGTAAATCTGTATTAATGGTTCAAATATATAATAGCTGGGCATACATCTGGTTTTAGGAACCATTGATATTGTACAGATTGGAAAGTGATGTGAAATTCATAAATAAATGGGGTCRAAGAAGATATGGATTTTGACAAGCCAATTGGAGCAAAAACAGATGTAGCTCGAAAACAAAATATTAATAATTATYTGCGGTCATTATAATATGAAAATTAATTGGGATTCTCGCGTGAGATAAAACAAAAATAACGCGGAGATGGCAGGACTGACAGGAGTACTAAAAAAAAAACACGAACGAACCTAATATTGCCAATAATATTGATTACCTAGGTATACCTTTTACAATAATGTTATATGTAACGACAAAATATCCTATTTTCCTTCCATTATTACCCACCCACC